AGGGGGAGACTTGGCTCCCCCTATCGCACCTCTGGTGGAGACGATCATACATGATCATATGGAATGATTCGCTGTACCTACCGTAATTCGGAATTGAATCGTGTGAAAATCTGCGGTATTCGTGATCAGCATAGAAACCCCTTGGGCCAAATTTCAACCAAATCCGTGATTTGGAGCTCTTAAAGACCGGCCATACTATTCCTGTGATTCCTGCAACTCCTGCGATTCCTGTGGTTGCTGCGGGCCCCATATCAATGTATATTGCGAAAAAACAATGCATACTGAAATTTGCAAAGCGCTTCGTAGTGCAGCACATCGGGAATCGAGGAATCACAAGAATTGCAGGAACTACAGGATTCACAGGAATCATCTCCCTGGAATAGTATGGCCGGTCGCTTACCGTACACCCAACCTAATTATGCCGGGTGACGTTTTTATGCAAAAATAGTGTGTTATTCGTGATCGGCTTGTCGAATAACCTCCACCGAGTCAACTTTGTCAAGTCAAGTTTGAGCAAAATTCATGACTTTGAAATTCTGTGGCCCAGTTACTGGAATAGCGCCAAACAGCTCTTCTCGACAAAGACTGCCGCCGTGCTTACCAAACAGATTACTGGATAAGCATGACGCCAAGTCGTAATTCTGAAACTGTTGTTTTGACAAGCAATCTAACTCGTATCGCCTATTGCGATCATTATCAGTGGCGTTTCTCCAACACATCAGCCACGTTTCTTTCCATGCAGAAGCCACTCTCAGATTCTTTTTTTTTTCGCCTTTACAGAGTGCATTTCTGTTTTGTTCGCCATTCATTCTTGTGTGGTAGTGCGGTCTTTGCTTTATCGCCTGTGATTTTTGACTGTAATTGATTAGTGGCGTCAAAACAAATACCGTTAGCTGCTTGCAAAAAATGACATGTGTTTGAGTGTGCCTACCACTTCAAATATGTCAATAGGACAGCTGTAGTGCAGCTGCTCGAAAGTAAAATATGTTGTAAAGTATATATTATGTTGCAGAAGATGAGGTAGGTCGAATTTAATTCTAACCAGAAGGGAGGGTATCTGATCCCCTGTTTTTTTAGTCTACCCTATACCCTTTATAAATTGCCACGTGTGATAATCTATATAGAGCTTTCGTCCATGTGTTGAAGACAGTCTGCCATTCTCGCCATGTGGGAACTCTCTCGCTTATCGGTTTTCCTCGGTTGTCGATATTCACGCCATTTCCACGGAAGGTCACTTTCGTCATACAGTTTGTCCCAATCAGGATCAGGCCGAACTGTTGGCGTAGATTTGCGCGCTCGCAGCGCTAAGAATTTGTGCTGCACGCGAGAGAGGAGGGGGGATCGCAGAAAGGTAGGTGCCAGAGGTAGGTGCCAGAGTAAGCGAATATTTTGTTCAGGTTGGGGTCCCGCGCAGATTGACGTCACTTGGATTGACGCCAGCATGGTGAGTGACGTCCATTCTGCACGGGACCCCAACCTGAACAAAATATCCGCTTACTCTGGCACCTACCAGAGTAAGCGAATATTTTGTTCAGGTTGGGGTCCTGCTCAGAATTGACGTCACTTGGACTGACGCCAGCATGGTGAGGTAGGTGCCAGAGTAAGCGAGTATTCTGTTCAGGTTGGGGTCGCGCAGAATTGACGTCACTTGGATTGACGCTAGTATGGTGAGAGACGTCAGTTCTGCGCGGGACCCCAACCTGAACAAAATATCCGCTTACTCTGGCACCTACCTGAGTGACGTCCATTCTGCGCGGGACCCCAACCTAAACAAAATATTCGCTTACTCTCTCAAACATTTTTGCGGCCACCCGCGCGCTCATGGCCGGCTGGGCGAAAACCCTTCCGGACCTTGCCCTGCCATGCTAGCGCGGGCCAGCGACGATTCCAGTGTGTGCAGCGAACCTGTCACCCGGACGAGCGGGCCAGCCTGTATTTCAATGTCTTCCTTGCCTTGTTGGCCCGTAGCTTAGCAAGGCCACCCTCGGGTTGGGTTTCTGCTCGGCTGCACCTGCATGCGCAGGTCACCTCAAATGTGGATGGATAACCCATTTGAAATCAAATATGGTGGAATGTTTCTGCTTCACACTACTGATCGAACTACACGAGATTATTTGAAACCCCATCAACGGTCAACGGATAAGGAAACCTGTCGTCAGCATAAATGCAAGCGTTACAGCTCCTGCAAGCTCCGGCATCCCTTTCACTGCGTTGTATCTCACGCGAGTAACCCTTGTGCTTACAACGTGCGTTAATTCATATGGACGAGCGGGTCGCTGTTTATTTCGGCATGCATGTGTATGGGTACGCGGGCCGCCAGTGAAATTATGAGCCTGGACAGGCGTGCGGACCACCGTTAGCATGGCATCAACTATGTGCGCGGGTCGCCAGCTCACACCTGTGGGCCGCTGCTGGGCCTGATGCATGTAAGGCTGGTATTTAGGAGCCGCGGCTCAACAGCGATGCTCAGTTGGGCGACCGGGCCGCTGCAACAATTGTCTGAGCTGGTACCTACCAAAGAACAGACAAGCGGGCTGCAGACTTTACGCAAAACCCTAGCGACGCGAGCTCCCACCACGCCAAATTTGACCCAGTTGCAATTGTGAGAGATAGGCGCCTGACTAAGGTAGGTGCCAAACTAAGCGACTGTTTTGTTCAGCTGCAGAAAGTGCGCAGAATTTACGTTGAAATTGCGCACGATTGCCTGCTTCAGCTGCAGCACCGCGCTAATGTTACTGCGCGCCTCCTGCAGCTGAACAAAACAGTCGCTGAGTCTGGCGCCTACCTAACCGATCGTCCTGCTTCAGCAGAATGCTGCGTAGTCACTTATTTGGTGTCACCTTGGAGGAAAATTGAGTCGTTGTCCTTTTGCTACAACAAACATTTGTTAGCGGTAACGCCTTTTTATCATTCTCTCACATTTCGATTCTTTCTATCATCTCTCCAAGACAGTTGTTGCAAAGCAGACGCATCTACGATTTCCTTCCAACGTGACGCCAAATGACATCAGTTTACTAGTTGCGCCGCGTCCTGCTGGAGCAGGACGATCAGCTAGATAGGCACGCGCCATACTTGATCCGCTTCATCCACTTCGCTATTGGTCAAATTAGCCAACTGACCTGGCGAAGTGTATGAGGCGGATCAAGTATGGCGCGTACCATAGGCGCCGGACTAGCTGATCATCCTGCTTCAGCAGGACGATCAGCTAGTCCGGCGCAACACCAGATAGCAGTGATTGTGCGCAGTCAGAACGCGCACAATCACTGCTGTCTGGTGTTGCGTTAATGGACTAAGTCGGCGTCCACATTTTTGCTACAACAAACCTTTTTTCATGGTAAGGCCTTTTTATCTTTCTCTCATACTACGAATCTTTCCTATCATCTCTTTAAAACTACTGTTGTTGCGAAAATCGCAGGCGCCATTACGATTTCCGTCCAACGTTTTACCCTAGCGCTGCGAGCACGCAAAATTGTCGATTTCGGCCGCATTCCTTGGGACAAATTGTAACTGCGGTACGTATTTTTCAACCCGGAATAGGCGAAACATTTCAAGTGGAGCGGCGCGTCCGCACCGCCACTGGCTCAGCGAGATGGAGGAATGAAAAGACGCAGACTGCAATACGACGCGATTCGTTGCGAAGTGGGCTCTCCCAGTCCAATTTCCGCCTAAACTGGATTGAAACTTACTGTAGCTATAGGGCTCTGCGTGTTCACGAGAGTCGGTGACTTTGCGACCATAGCACGCGCAGGATGCCACAACCAATCAGGTATCGGGCAGAGTTCACACGATTTCATCGTCGCGATTGATCGCGATAAGACAGCTGCAACAATATCATTGCATGCCGCTCTTCTTGCATTTCGGTTGTGATAGTTTTCCAACACGCCTGGTCGTGACTAATTTTCGCAACCGAAAAACAAGAAGATCGGCATGTTCTCGTTACACTTGTCTTGTAGCGATGAATCGCGACGATGAAATCGCGTAAACTCTGTCCTAGGCATTAACAGTTCCGTACTATTAGAAGTCGTTTCAGGTAAATGGAGGCTAACATATGGTAGCGGAAAAGCGTTTGAAAGGAGAAAGATAACTGAAAAAGCTCACTGCGCATGTAATGGCCGCAAATCCACCGACTCGCGCGATCACGTAGAGCCTTATAGCATCTGCGTGCAAGATGCTAGAAAGTCTATGACTGATGACGGACAAGACTTCTATCATCTGACTACTCCGTTTGTTTTTCAGCTGTGGCACTCTCATTTGCTGGCTTTGAAGCACTCGAGACTGCAAACATCGTCGATCACGGGCTTCTATGTTATCTCATGCCTCAAGCGAACCTTGTTTTAGAGCTTTTATTTGGTTTGTTCTAGTGATTACAGGAATATGAATGTGGCGCAAAAAATAGATTTTTTACCTCTAGGACAGATGTGAACTTTGTCTTCTTCAATTTGATAATGAAGATGAGATTATAGGAATCTAGTCACCAAATTCTGCAAGTTGTTTTGTAGAATTGTTATAATATAGCTGCCTTCCAAAATTTTCCATTTATGCATCGTTTGAAAGAATTTGATTTGCTATTTTTGGCTAGCAGTTGCTCATCTTGAGCTCCGTACACTAGCTTCATAGTGAATTGTGGGTTTATAATGTCGTAGTCAGGAAACAAGCGACTCAGACAAGTGATTCATCCATGCTATAGTATAGTCAAAAACCAACAAAGTTTCGGTGTACCAAAACCCAACATAGTTTCGGTGAATAACACTCATTTGCTTTGTGGAGCTGGGGTTTTTGCTGTCGATTTGTGCGCTCTTTGTTCAGCTGTCTGAAAAACTAGCAAAATTGGATAATGAGTTGGCAAATTGGCCATTAGCGTTGGGAATTTGCGTTGACCATCATCATTTCTGTTAGAATTGCGCTCGCTAATTGGATTCTTTCTCGTTGTTGTTCTATATTTCACCGATATTGTTTCCTTTTGTTCAAGAGTTGCTTCACAGAAGGAGTTCTTGTTGCAGTAGAATGGGAGACACATCAGCTTCAACGGGAACGGCGGAGAAGAGGGCTCATGAGACTACAGCGGGCAGCCCAGATATAAAAGTAGAAGAAGATCTAAACAGTTCTGGCATCCCGCATTCAGATTTTGTTGTCGTAGCTGATAGTACCGGTGAGTGCTTTTCAATTTTTGAGGAATTTCAATCTTCTTAGGTTTATCCACACTAAGTAGAAAAAAAGATGTTTTTCAGGCGAAGCCATGGAGTTACCTACCGCTTCAGATAATTCTTTATATATGACCACACTTCAAGCTACCTATCCCGGTGCCACCGGGATGAAATACAAAAATCCCAAAACGGGAGCATTACGGGCTGTAGCGTAAGCGTTTTTAATCTTGTTTTGTTGCTGCATGTGACTTGGCAAGTTTAGTGTTGATGCCAGTGGTACAAAACTTCTACCACCATCTGACGGTTGGGACGATAAGGTATTCACAGTGATCACCTCGAACTCACGCAGTGAGCGAAGTAAGTGAATTTGCACAGTTTTGTTACCGAATAGTTACCCGCAAAGTATCACAGTTGCCATTTGCCATTACGATCAGTGTAGCTGGTCATCTGGTTTAGATGTGATGAGATCTGCTTACCAGGAGTTGTGTTGCGCCACGTTTTCTTTCAATCTGTACAAAATAAGACTGCAGACTGTAAATTGTTTTTGTACTTTTGATCTACACCAGCGATCGCTTTCACATTTGTTCTATAACTTTTCTCAACTTTCCGTTATTTGAAGCACGCAAAAATGTATTGAGTAGCAGTAAGCATCAATGGAAACTTTACAACAAGAGTCACACACAACCAATTAGTTTTTAACTTAGCTATTTTCGTAGTGGTCAGAAATGCGTGCTTGTTTGAAAAACGTAAATATGTGTAAGCTGAGAAAAGTGTTTGGCATGAAAGTTCTCATTGACAGCAATACAACTCTCATATGTATGAACTTTGTATAATGAGTGCGAGCGGTGAGAAAAGGTGGTGTGTCTAGGCTCGGATGTAAGTGTGAAACGTCGGAAGATTGGAACAAGTGATGGAGAGTCCGACAGTGACGGTGAGGGTCGAATCGGTCGCAAACGTGCCGCTGACTCTCGCGAGGCTGCGGTAGCTGAGCCACCTATCCCACGCCGACCGGTTGATCTCATCGTACTTGGCGTGAATTACAAGACAACAGACGAAGGATTCAAGTCCTACTTTGAAGCCTTTGGTACGGTGGTGTTTGCTGAGGTGAGTGTGAAACAATGACTGTGAGTTCTGATGTACTGTGGTTTTCTTTTGGTAAGAAATTTTAGTTTATCTTACTGTGTGGACCAGTTGTACGAGTTGATGTAAGCGAAATATCTGCGTGGACAAGCTCCAGGCATCTTTGTCTGAGCAAAGTATGAAAGGACGTAGCTGCATCTGTCTGCTCTGCTTAGTCTACTTTTGATTCTTAGAGAAGAAAGCCATATGACCTCTGCAAAAAAGTGCTTCAATTGTTAGTTCACTTGCAGCGCGAATTAGCCTCAATCAGTCATCTTTCATAGCTATCTGCCAAGTTTTCGTGGACTCCAAAATTATAAGCTTTAGTCGCTCAGTGCTTTCGGTTACTTAAGCGTTCAACAACCTCAGTTGACAAACAGACCAATAGTGTACGCAGACGGACAGCGATAGGTAGAGTTGCGAGAGCCTTGTACAGCTGAAATCATGTGTTAGCTGCTTCAGTAATAATTGCATGTTGGTTAACGGAGTTGTGTGGAAGATTCAATCTATAATTATTTAGATCAAACGCACACCGGAAGGATCGTCAAAAGGTTTTGGTTTTGTACAGATGAGCACAGTAGAAGAACAAGATAAGGTGCTTGGGACAGCCAACCACATGTTAGATGGTCGCCGCTGTGATGTGCGCATTCCTGATCAGAGAGTAAGTGGCTCAAAAAAAGCTGTGCTTTTGTCTAAATAATATCTATCAGCATGATGCTCATGGAAACACTCCTGGTGGGAGTCGAACGGTTGTACCACCGAAAACGCTAGTGAATAAAGTTTTTGTGGGCAGACTTTCGGAGAAGATCGAAGAGGAGACGCTGCGAAAGTTTTTCGACAATGAAGCCAAAAGGATTGTCGATTCCGCCTCGGTAGTGAACGATTTATTCATTTACTGCGCCTGAAATGGAGTTACTTTCAGGTGACAGATGTATTCATTCCACGACCCTTCCGTGGCTTTGCATTCATCACGTTTACGCATTCTGAAGTTGCTGATCGTTTGTGCAAGTAAGTTTTTCCTTTTTCATGATCGATTTTCTACAAACCTTTGTAGAGAGAACAATTTTGTGATTGATGGCACATCTGTGAGTGTGACACTCGCTGTACCACGAGAGGATCCACATCAGAATGCTAGCGGATATTTCAACGATTTCGGTTTTCCCTATGGTTATAGTAAGAGTGGTGGCGGATTTGGAGGAGCTGGTGGAATGCCTCCTAATCATAGTCCATTTCCAGGACGGGTTAGTTTGTAGTTGAACATTATCATATATATTGTAAAGTAAATGGGAAATTTCACTCATTGCATAACCACTGAAACTGAAAAACAATGTCTTCTGAACAATGTTCAGGACGTGTTCGGATACAGTCCACCACCTGGTGTGTATGGGCGTCCTCCATACGATGGTTGGGTACCGCCACCTACTCTCCAGGGCACTCCTCGATCAAGCCGCAATGGACCAGCACATGAACAACCATGGTATCGTATTATCCGCTAATGGAGACATATCTTGTTTTTGCACGTATCAGTTCATCATCATTTGTTCGTTTTCGAGCTTTTGTTGTTTATATCGGTTTTATGAATACTTGTTCAAACAACGATCAAAAACATTCGTATTTTCTCTCTCAATTAGATAAACGCCCACAAATCTGTCAGTTGGTGTGTAAGCCTGAGTTGGGAAGTGAGAAATTAGGGGCCTTTGAAAGTGAGCGTAAGCGAGGTGAGAGAGAGAATTCGAATAGAATTGGTTAAGTATGCGGTATTGTTGGTGTTTCATCCTGTATCAGTGTTAAATCAAGTCAAGTGATTGCTTTTTCTTTCGAGTTCAAGTGAATAAACTCATCAGACAGTTTTGTGGGCGGTTATTTGTGTTCTTATTCAAACAACTGAAATTTTTCTGTACTTACATTATCGAGATCTAGGTGGGTTTCGATGTTTATGCTGTCGAAGTTGGGACATAAAACTAAACTTGAATAACCTAGATCTTTGAGTGTGTCTGTTAACTTATAGTGGAATAATCTTGCTTAGGAAATTTTGAGTTTCACCCTCCTTGGTTTACATGGTTTTTGAACCATCACTGGAGTAATGTTAAGACTCGGCTTGTTCTAGTCTAGTCCAAGCGTGGGTTAGAGAACATTATGTCGCCGAAAGGGGAAATTCTGCGTAAACATGAAGCAAAGTACGCACCATCACAGCCTTGTGCCATTTCCGCAGAGCCTGTCGGCGACATAGCGTATTCCATCCCAAGTTTTGCACTTGTGAAGTGTCAATGATTGTTTACTTATCAAAATAGAAGTCAGAGATTATAGCGTGCGCAATCGTTACCATCCTTCCCGATCCAAAGAACCAGCCTTTCCTGGTCCCGTGCCGCCTCCAGGGCCACCTCCTCTAGCCTATGTGTTTCAGCAAAGAGATGGGTAGGAAAGCTGTAGAGTTCTTTTCTCAATTCCTCTCTTTCTCATACGAAATTGCAGACTGGCTGGTCAAGCTGCTTCAAATCAAATAGCAAGTGGTTTGGATGCTTTAAATCTGAACCAAATGAATCCGGACTTACTGAATAGTAAGTTGATGCAGTTTCTTTCTTTCATGCTATCAAAATTTGTTTTCAGCAGCATGGAATGCGTTCTTCAGCACGTTAAATAATGGAGGAGCATCACCACAACCACGGAAGTGGTAGTCTAATCCAGGGTCACAACAAATATAATGTATAATCTGTAATTAGAATGAATAAATATTTTGTTGTATCTTCTTTGTAGTGCATGTATTAGTGCTATATAACGTTGACGACGTGTGTACGGATGTGGCGTTGGTCGACTTCATTTTGGTAAATATATGCTAATTTCTTAAACAGCAAGAGTTTATGTAATGATTTTGAGAAGAAACAAGTAAGAAACACCTCATCTTATTGTGCTTCTCTTATTGTTAGAAGAATTTTAATACTCGTATTTATTAATATTTCTTAATATTCATGAAATAGGTGTGAAATACTTGGGTCTCTGAGGAAATCTGCTTTTTTTATAAGGAAGCGTCATACTAAAGGCAGCGTCAAGACAGATTTGGACATTATACGATACTATCACAACCGAGTACTAGGGCCTCGATCTAGAACTATCGCTTGAGTCCGACTTTTGTACATCCCCTGTAAAAGGAGAAAATCTTTGCAAAAAACCTGTCTTGAGGACCAGCCCACTGCCCCGCACCGCCCACCCCCCTTAAACGAACTCTCCTCAGCCCTTGACGAGTTTGCACATGGCAAACACAATGGAACACATGGTGTCTACCTGTTGCTTTCGACAAGGATTGCATTAGATGCAGTCGTTCACGCTTCTCACAGAACTGTCTCAAAAATGGTTGTTTTTCAGTTCACGCATTTTGAGTGCCATATTTGAAAAGTGAAAGTGCCATGAAAAGGCCTGGATAAGGTAAAAAATAGAAGTCGAGATTTTGCTTGGACGCTGCCTTTAAACCCCTTCGGGTGCCGCGCAAGCGTTGGGGGAATTCGAAATTTTTCATCGAATGAATGAATATCGAATAAATTCGAAAATGAAAATTGTCGAATAAACGAATATCGAATAAAATCGAAATTAAAAAAAAAACCCGAATAATGAATCTTGAATAAATTCGAGAAAAATTTCGAATGAATGAATTCCGAATAAAATTGCAAAATCAAAAAATATCGAATGAATAAATGTGGATTATATTCGAACATTGGGGAGTCGAATTCCGAATAAATATTTGAAGGATTTTATCGAGTAACTGGAGCAACCATATCTATTAGGCTGCTGCATAAGTTCTGCCCGATTTGCATTTTTTGAGTTCAACATGTCACTTCTTTCAGAGTCAACATTTTTCCAAGATCTTACTTTCTATGTGTTGAGCAGTTCCTTGGCTATCAGACACATATTGAAACTTGCGAAAATCCTTGTTGGAAGAAGCAAAAACTCAAAAACTTTGCAGTGTTTTTCTTCAAATCTCTTTTTTGACATGGCAGTGCTCCCTTATGAGAATTGATAGGCGTCCTATCTAAATGGATAGATAGAGAAATTTTCGTAGATTATTCTACAACAAAAAAAAACAGCTCATAGAGTCTGCGTTGCCAAGAGATTTTTTGACCAAGCAAAAAAGAAGCCACTTTTTGATCTCGTTTCAGCACATGTGTGCATGCCTATTCACGAATTATGAAAATTTTACAATTTATGTGAGCGCTGGAAAGGAACTATTAGATGGGCCCTGCTAGCTCTTGCTTTACCCTAGCAGCTCCAACTTTGAACTCATCGATTACTTCTATTCGCAGAAAGCTAATTCTCGTAGAACACTTATACAAAAAATGTTCGACAACAGATTTTACTAGCAAGACCTTCATGAATTTGAGCTTCTGCATATACTAGCCTTCTACACCCTTATTCCGCAACCAATGAAAGAATTTGACTTGAAGAGCGCATTGTGGAGATTTTCTCGCAAGAACTTTTCTCTAGGGTGAGAACGTACCTCGGCTACTTGCAGATTTTAGGTCTGAAATCTCCTTAAACTAGAGTTTTAATGAAATTGATATGCGTTGGAAAGAGCAAGAAAAGCACTTTCTAATGATACTAATAATATCGCACTAGAAATAAAATACCCTTAGAACAGGTGGTTCAAACATAAGGCAATAAATCGGACAAAACTTATGCAGCAGCCTAATAAAGCTTGCTCAAATACCCGGTTAAAGGCACCGTCCACCCTAAGTTGAGGATGTTGAGCTTTTGGCAGCATATAGCAGTAGGGCCCCCTATGAATCCAATGCCCAAGTCGCAGCGCAAAATGCCGCTTCGGAAGCGAGAGAATCGCTTCAAAATAGCGAAGAGACACGAGGACCCCCATCCATGCCCGCCCATTTGTGCGCACCCATCCAATCACCGTTCCGGATAGCTGGCCTGTGGGTCCTCCTAAACGGGGATTGTCGGGGTTTTCGCTCATTCTCGACCTCATATTCGGAATCATGGACATGAGAAGGCCCTGAAACGACAAAAACTTGGAAGTCGAAAATGTGGGTGGACGGTGCCTTTAAAGCCGATTTATTCATAATCAACACCCTCACACCCAACTCTCAGCTCCGCAGCTCACGATTTTCCAGAAATCGGTAAATCGATGAAATAAATTTTATTCATAATTGGCGTCCTCGTTTGATCCATGCCAACTCCCATCCCCATGGCTCAAAGCTTTTCAAAAATCGATACGATAGAGTAAATTTTTTTTCACAATCAGCACCACTGGGGGAAGAATGGCGTAGTGACGAGGGGCCGCTATGACCAGATCGGACACAGGTTTGATCCCCGCCCCTGGGCCAACCAAGCCCTCTACCCTCCGGGGCCGGTAAATTGGTACCAGAGTAATCTCGGAGGATAAAAGCACTGACTTGGTAATCGGCTGGCCCCCGCAAGTCACTGCAATAGGCTTGCACCCATTATTGCCTCTTCGGCTATGAAGTAGTGAGCGTTCGGGCTTGCCCGCAGAGGGTATTGGATCCTTATCCTTAAATCCTTGTATAGTCCTTTACCCTTTGATCAGCATCCTCACTTAGCCGCCTGTACCACCTCCCAGCCTTGTAGCTCAAGACTTTCCAAAAATCGGTAAAATTAAGTGAATCCTTCTATATATATAAAACCGAATGGTGTACTTGTCTGTACGCTGGTGGATGCTGTCTGTACGTCCTCGATGGTGTTTTTCTGTTCGATGGTGTTTTCGTGTCTGTCGTTTTCCAGTATGGGAAACGACAGACACGAAAACAAAAGTAGTTGGCAAAGGGAGGTAAGCGAACATGCTGATTACGAATATGATAACCATTTTCAAATATGCCCATTACTTTTATCATTTTATCAGTTTGCTTGCAAATTTTGAACTACGGGGCTGGGAGTTGGCAAAGGGGGGTAAGCGAACATGCTGATTACGACTATGATAACCATTATCAAAAATGCCCATTACTTTTATCATTTTATCGATTTGTTTGCAAATGAACTACGGGGGTGGGATTTGGCAAAGGGGGGTAAGCGGACATGCTGATTACGAATACAATATTAGTTTTTGGAATTATCAATTACTTTTATCATTTTATCGATTTGTTTGCAAATTTTGAACTACGGGGGGTGGGATTTGGCAAAGGGGGGTAAGCGAACATGCTGATTACGAATATGATAACCATTTTCAAGAATGCCCATTACTTTTACCATTTTATCGTTTTTGTAAATTTTGAACTACGGAGCTGGGAGTTGGCAAAGGGGGGTTAGCGAACATGCTGATTACGAATATGATAATCATTTTAAAAAATGCCCATTACTTTTATCATTTTATCGGTTATTTTGCAAAGTTCGAGCTAGGTGCTAAGAGTTGGCACATGGGAGCAAGCGAGAATGCCGATTTCGAATATGATAACCAATACAGAAAATACCCATTATTTCTATTGGTTTAATTGATTTTTTGCAGTGTTTGAACCACGGCGCTGGGGGTGTTGGTACGGGCAGATAATTGAGCATGCTGCTCACGAACACGTTCTTATTTTACAAGTTATCAATTACCTTCACTGGCTTTATCGATTTTTTGCAAAGTTTAAGCCACGAAACTGGGATTTGGCACATGGGAAAAAGCGAGCATGCCGATTAAGTTTGTAATAAGTGTTCTTGAAAGTACCTATTATTTCTGTCGTTTTCTATTCTTTGTAAAATTAGAGCTACATGCTGGTATTTGGCACAAAGTAGTATGTGAGCACGCTCACTGCAAAGATAGTAACCGTTTTTGAGATTACCCATTACTTTTATTGACTTCATCTTTTTTCAACTGAAGCTACGAGGCTGAGATGGCACTGGTCCGGGGGTAAGTGAGCATGCTGAGAATTCTATAATCACACTCGCGAAGACGGTATATTTACCTAAAGTTGTTATAGATTCACTTTGGCCCGTCTTTACCTTTTAAAATCCTACTTCTGCCCCTATAATCAGAAAAGCGCAAAGAGCCTGGTCTCGAGGGAAGAAGAGGCTTATAAACTGAGGCGGCAAGAAATTTTCGCTAAGAATTTCTACGAGTCGATATCTAATTATACAGAAATTTCCTTGAAATTTACTTCTGTCCCTTTCACTCTGCAAAAACCATACTTCTGCCTCTGGAAGCAGAAAAATGGTCTCTGGGGATGGACAGACCCATGAGCTTCATCCGATAGGACATTTTCACTGAAACTTTTGGTCCCCAAACTTCGCAAGAACCACAGACTCAAAAATCACACTTCTGGTCCTAAAAGCAAAAAAGACAGGGAGCTTGGTCTCGAGGTAAGAAAGAATTATGGCCTCAGGCAGCAAGATATTTTCGCCAGAAGTTTCTGGGTGTCAGTGATTATACAGAACTTGCTTAAAATTTACTTCTGGCCATTCTACTTTGCAAAAACCACACTTTTTCCTCTAAAAGCGAAACAGCACAGATAGCTTGGTTTTGAGGAAAAGACAGAACCATGAGCTTCATGCGACAAACATTTTCGCCAAGGCGTTTGACCCCCTAGACTTCGCAAAAAAACAGTATAAGCTCCTGCAAGACGAAGGCGGTCGGTTCGAGGTACGACGTGGCTGTGACGCGGCTGTGACTCGGCTGTGACGCAGCCATGTCGCAGCCGCGTTGCGCATTGAATCGACCGCCTTCGTCTTGCAGGAGCTTATACTTCTGCCCCTAAAAGCAGAACAGCACAGGGGATTTAGTCTCTAGGGAAGGACAGCCCATGAGTTTC